GAGAGAGAGAGAGAGAGAGAGAGAGAGAGAGAGAGAGAGAGAGAGAGAGAGTGTGTGTGAGTGATAATGTATTATAGGATGAAGCTATCATAGCAGAACAGCTGGGGGCTACATGTCAAGACAGGGGGGTATGTGACACTGCACCATATACCATCCTTACATACTCACACACGCACAGACACGCACAAGCACACGCACTCCCCGCTCTCTCTCCCTCTCTTCCTGCAGTCATGGCTGTTTCATTAGCTCATCACAGAGCTTGAGAGGCCCTTAGATGAGGGTCTATGAAATGATGTATAGGGACCATTTTTATGGAAATGAAAGTGGGAAAAAAAATCGAAATGATAATATATAGCCTGTAGAGAAATGAGATGTTGCAAATATTAACTAATGTCATTATTTGTCGCATGAGCCTAATTAAACATTTATAATCAGGAGAAAATCAAGTGTATGACAGAAAATCTATAGGATATGTTGGATAATAAAAAATGTCATTTTATGCAATACGGTCAGGATGATGAACCACAGATTCCTTACATGTCGATATAACACACACACACACTGAATGACGAATACTGCAGCAGGTATAGTCAATGCCTTACGTTGTAGAGTAGAGTAGTTATCCATCTGGCAAGCTGCTGGTGGCGGATCCGTTTTTATTTGATTTTTTCTTAAATCACTCTGGTTGCCCCCGTGGACACCGCAGCACCGGACTGGATCAGTCTACCGGGGCGAACCGAGCCGGTGTGAAACCAGGACAGGTACCCGCGCGACCAGCAGCATCTTTAGTAACCCCGGGGCCAGAAAACGGAGGAGGTGAGCACATGTCAGGATCGCTCGGTACGGTTTAAATCCAAGTCGGTTCCACAACGTTTTCAGTCAGATCTCTTCGTTGCAAGATGCCTCGCTCCACCTCCATGTAAAAAAAAAAAATGCCAAGATGCGGGCACTCCGGGTAAGAGAAAGGTCAGTGTGCGGTGATGAAAATCACACCGGGTGAACGGATCCGTGAGCGAGAGAGGAGCGGGTGCCCTTCTTCTTCTTCTCCGTTACCGTAAACCCCGCTGCAGGGAAAACACATTCAGCAGGAGCGTCTCCTCCCATCTATCCCCCGTAGAGAGAGCGAGAGCGAGAGAGAGAGAGAGAGAGAGAGAAAGGGGGGGGGAGAGGAGGGGAGAGAGAGATGGATGAAGATGGAACGAGGACGCCAGAGTTCGCGCGTGCGCATGAATGTGCGCGCCAACGTGTTGTAAACCTAATTGTGCACGCGTGTGTGTATGTGTGTGAAAAAGATACACAGAATGGAAGTCATCTTCTTAGCTCATTGTGGTACCTCACACACACACACACACACTCTCACACACACACACACACACACACACACACACACACACACACACACAC